AATATAGAATAGTTTTAAAAATAAAACCTGAAGATGATGCTGAGACATCGAAACATGTTGTAATATATAGCGCAAATTGTAACATCAAGGAAACGATGAATAGCGCGAAATATTTATATCAATTTTAATTTTTAACATCAATATTAATATAGTTTGTGTATAGACTTGAAGAATAAATATATGTATGAATCGAATATTCTGCTGTAGAAGTTTCCCACACAATAATCAACTGTTGGCCCACCCTTAGAAATTTCATGTCCTCATGGATTGATTCAGTGATGCCTATTTTTCAGTCTCCGTATTGGACTTTTTCTATGAAGTTTTTCATCCAGAGTCATATATGCACTTCACTGTCCCCTATCTCCATCCTTCACTAGATCCTTAACTACACTAGGTAAAGAGATAGATTATAAGACTTCGTATTGTAAATGAATTGTACACGAGGGAAACTGGCATTAATTTTCATGTTCCAGTGTATTACATATTGATTCATTGTTTATTTTTTCGTACTTTATGTTTCAGCTGAGATTGAGATTATTGACTCTGACGATGATGATGATGGCCTTATTCCGGTAGTGTCAGTTGGGGGCAGGAGTGTACCTGTTACAGAAGTGAGTGACACTTTGATTGCGCAAATGACACCTGCAGAAAAAGAAGCTTATATACAAGTGTATCAGGAATACTATTCCCACATGTATGACTAGAAAGTGTAATAACATTGCCATATTTAAGATAAACTATTATTGTGACTGAAATTTGTTAACTTTTTATACAAATAATTGTCTGCATTGCATTCTCCAATGAATCATTTTCAGATAATGTGTAATTGCTAATTATCGTGAATCATAAGATATTTTTGTTACTTATGTTAAGAAGTTTGAAACTTTAGGCATAAATTTATATCAGAGGAATTCAGTGGTACAGGAAGACCTAAAAAGAGGTAAGTAGTTTAAACTGCAGTCATGATGAAGTTGCAGTGGACTTAAGAAGAAGAAGAAGAGTTTCCAGTCAGTACACTTTTTGGAATGCTATTTGTATTAAAGTTTCACTGAATACAAATGTAATGTTTTAGACCGAAATTTCTTGAACGGTAAGATTTTGTGTTTAAATGTTTGTCAGTCATAGCAAATGATTTGTTTTTTAATGTTTTCTCATATTTGTATTGTGTTCAGGGAAAGATTGACCAGTGATGATTCTTCTACTGGTGAATGTATTGTCACATTTAATGTTGTTTTATATTTATACAATTTTTATGGTAAAAAAAATAATTATTATAAAGAATGTTCATTGATTTCTCTCATTTTAAGAAGATAAACATCACATGTAGTACTATATTTATGCAAATAGAAGCAGTAGTGTGCATATATATGCTGCACATAAATGAAATACAGAAAAGTAACATTGCATTGAAAGCAATACCAAAGGTTCTGAATTAGTTTATCCTCAAGTAAGTCATATTTTTTTATATTCAAATGATATTTGTTTTAGTGATTTTTTGTCAACCAATCACACTGTTTGTGCTATCATGCATTGCCTGCTGGTCTCGAGAAAATGCACTTTCCAGTGGAGTGGTTATGCAGTATCTGCAGGTGACAAACCGCAGAAATGAAAGAGCGTGTCAATTTCTGCTATTATTTACTATTTGTCAGTCGATAATGTTTCTGAAATGTACTGTAGGCCCCCCCTTCCCACTTGCTCAAGTAATGACATAGTTCTCCTACCAGATTTTTGTGTTCAGTTTCACATTTAATGACAACTGCTAAAGAGAGAACGAGACACCAGATAATGTTTATGGAACACAGTATATGTTCCTCTTCACTCACTTTGATGTGGTTTAGTGTTTTTACCAGCTGGGGTCCTGCAAGTTGTGCTTAAGGTTTCCACGAGTAGAGTAAATCTTACTCTTTTATTTTATGATGCTGTATTGCTGTAAGTTTCAATCTTTCTTCATCACATCTCTTACTTCCACATTGGAGTAAAAAATATGACTGTCTGTGTTTCAGTAAGTATTTAATTGAAGTGTATTAATTTTAGCCGGGGGTTGCACAATATCAGAAAGTTTGAGAGGGGAGAGGATCCACATTATCAGAAAGTCTGAGAAACAGTGATCTAGTTCATGCGGATTTTGAGCACAGTGGGACAAAGAAAGATGAAACATTGTTTTTGCATGCACATTATTTCATGTGGCTGCCCTTGAGATAGGATGGTTTACATCCTCCTGATGGTGGGATGCAAAAGGGACTGTCAATTTTTTTTTCACATCACCTTGTTTTTTTCCCACTTTCAAGTTTCATCTATTGCAATTCTGTAATCATCTCTTCCTTCTTGTCTAAGTGACCCCTTGGCATACTGAACACCTACCGTACCTGCCACGTCTGAGCTCAGCTGCTTGTATGTTTATTCTCAGTTATTATTATTATATTATTATTATTTAGTGTTCTGTCTGACGACAGGTCCATATGAACAGGATCCTTCCATCCTTTTCTCGGACTGGGACCTGTTCATATACGTTCTTGGCAGATGATCCAGAAGTGGTTTGCCATTGCCTTCTTCTGTGTGTGAATGGAGTAATTGTTGGGATGCCCCGGAGGAAAACTCCGTGTTGCCTAGACCACGGCCTTGCCCAACACAAGTTATAAATTCGGGCACCGCCGGGAATCGAACCCGAGACCCCAGGATTACAAGGCCAGTGTTCTAACCGCTAGACCACCGTGGCGGTCTTATCCTCAGTATGTAGAGTTAAGTCCCCACAGGTTTAAAAACTCCTGTATCACCGGCTGCGATTGTCGTATCTTCATGATACTGTCCCAGATTTGGTGCGAACTTCAACATGTGTGTCTGTATGGATAACTCAGAAGTGAAGGTTAAATGCACCCTTCTCACTGCTTCCAGTCACAGGATCCAGGTATCAGAAACCCAACCTCAGTTTATGTATAATTTCATAGACTCCAATTAATCTAGTGCATGTGGGTCTGTTTTACTAAGGAAGGGTAGTGTGGTGCCGATGGCTTACCACTGAAAGGAAACGTGACATAATCAATGACAAAACTGCTAAAGCCTGTGAGTGTAGAGTGGAGAGTTGTGATGTATAAATTTTAATGTCTTTGATGTGGTTTCTGAAATCAAGGTTAGTACAGGCCAGAGAACCTAGGTGTCTTCCCCTTTCGAGTCTCATGATGGCGGGCTGACTCTGAAAATTGCAGAAGGGGAACCAATCATTATGGCTTCTTCACACCTGTCGTCCCTTGAAATGGACCCCAACAAACGTAGAAAGAGAATCAACGCATCAGATGTCAAATATTGTGCACCTCAATTCCTCAGAATCAGAGACTGAGATAATAAGTACAGGATGTTATGTGATTAGATTGATGTATGATATCAGCAATACTGATACTCTCAAATCAATTTATTTTGTGTTGGTTTCACTCTAATGAAATGTGGATTAATTTTGGGGGTGATTCATCTAACAGCAAAATTCTATTTACTTTAAAAAAAGAAACTGTTAAAATTATAACTGGTGCTGAACCTAGAAATTGACGTCGAAGTCCACATGAGAAATCGGAGATTTGCCTCTTCCGCTTGAATACATATTTTCATTGATGAACTTTGATGCAAATATATAACCAAGAACATTTTCAGATAAATTCAGCTGCACACAATGATAATACAATAGGAACAGTTGCCAATTTTTCATGTTTTCAAAGAAGAGAATACTGTTCTGACATCAACATTTTTAGGTGTTCCATCAAGTCTCAAAAGTCTTATCAATAAAAAGGCACAGTTATTTGACGGTGTGGTGTGGTAAAAGTTTCCCGATGTCTCCGTCATCGCCCTGATGATGGAGATAGCCAGCACCCTTGAAATGTGAGTGAACGTCTACCAGACTACACGGCGCAACAACCCATGACAGACATCTTTATACTCGCCGCCGATGTGAGAACCCGAATTCTCACACATTTAAATGTACCGCGTGTAAATGTAGGACACTCAGCTGCTGAAAAATGAATACCAAGTTGCGAAATAGTATGAATTTGTCGTCCTGCGCATAGATTAATGCCTGTTTCTGCTATGTTCGTGCCTACACCGACGACAGTGATGTAACATCGGAAAACGGACGAAAAGCATGGGATCACGCATTAGTACTTAAAAAATCAGGTAAAATCGTAGAATATTTAATTCCAAGACACAAAATTGATACATTAGTACGTAAATTAAAAAGAAACGTTTAGAAATTTTAATTCGTGTTTATTGCTAATTTTAGGTGTCAAGAATTGCAGCATTGTGTACAATAATGGCAATTCCAGCTGGTGCAATTTTACATTTATGTAATGGAAATAAACAGCATTTCAACAAAATCTTTCTGCTAACTTGTAAATCAGCATCGTATTGTTTGCGAGTTAGCTGCAATGTTCACCAATATGTTTTAAAGGTCACATCAGATCAAGGTTCTCAGAAATCGCCTACGCAAACTTCGGGACCTTCAGCAGTACATCAAGAAAAGATTGATAATGGGGAATTAATGCATGATGATTGTCAACACAGAGTCACGGACAGTTTGCAGCGACTTTATGAGAACATCCAAGGATATAAACCATCTGTGCATGGATTGTTTAGTAGATTCTTTAAAAAGGCATCCAAAGCCCCAAAGGGACTCTATATCTATGGTGCTGTTGGTGGTGGTAAAACAATGCTCATGGATTTGTTCTACGGTTGTTGTGAGGTACATTGTTTTAGTTTAGCTGTAATCAGCAGTGATATATTCTGGGTGTCTTGAAAGCTGCATGGGATGGTAAGATTAAAATTCAAGAAAATTGGACATATTTATGTATTTTCTCAATAATTGTGGTTTTCTTGCAGTTTTTAAATTCTTACGTTACACTGGTAGTTTTCTTGTAGCATGCCCAGAATATGTCATTGATAAACAGTATTATTTATCAGTTTGGAGGTGTAATTCTTATTTGAGTTCTGTGTGTGTGCTTTTTTTATTTGGTTGCAGTTAATTCAAATAGGGATTCCAGATGTTTGAAGGCAAATTCTTGACATTTGTTAAAACTTAATTTGCATCTCCTTTATAAGTGATTTTGTCATTTGTTTATAATGTGGAATTCCAGTTCTAATATGCAAAAGAGCTTTTACTTTCATACTCTTAAAACACAATGAAATAAAGGTTACAATTGTGCAGTATTAATGAACACACAAAAACAGACACAAATAATCCTTCAGGAATTTTTTAAGAGAGTCATGTTTTGTGTGTAGTAAAAATTATTATATTTTACATGGAAAATAAAAATGAATAGGCACTGCCTCCCTCTGACATTTTGTAGAAAATATATTTAATTGCACATAGTAGACTGATCTATAACAATATTGTGGCAATAAAAATTTGTTGTAGCACTGTTTTAGCTGCGTAGCTATCAGTTCAATTGCTACTGAGCCTCAGTATCTGCTACTCCATCTTCTTATATCTTACTGTTGGCTGCTGGTCACTGCTGTCTTAAAGAATAGCCCAACCCTCTGAATGAACTCACTGTTTTACAACCCAGAAGACAGCCATCCTCATTGTCTTATGTTGCCATATTTTGTAATAGGAACTACTCTCTCTCTCTCTCTCATGCACACTTGTGAAGCAAAAACAATGTGCAGTGAACATGAGGTCATCCATCATTAACTTAAAGGTATTTATTATTAATTAATCTCATAATTTCATCGTAGTCATTGTAACCATTGTGTTTTATCACCAAGCGAAGACATTTTATGTTGCCTAGTAGCCCATGTTGTCTTCTTATTATGTTGTATGTCAGGATTTTTGGTAACAGATGAATCTAGTTCACATCCTCAAACTCTGCTTCTTGGTTTATTTGAATAGACTTCAACTGAAGTGCCTTTTCAGAAAACAATCCAACAGGGGAGGTTCTAGGTCTGTTTATCATTGCTTCTTTTGGCAATCACCCCCTTATGGACCCTGAACACAAATTTATATCTTACCAACACAGTAGAAAATAAATGTACACTTATAACTTTAACCAACAAGCCATTGCGTCAAACCTCACCATATAATCCAACAATAAAAAATAAAGCTCACTTTGCCTCGGTAGCTTCCCCCGAGAGATAGGGTAGCTACTCACTCTTGGTGAAGCCATCCATTCCACCAGTACATAAAATTCAGCAAAATACAATTCAACAAAGAAGTAGCTACCTCTGAATCTCAGGAAACACTCTCCCATCTCCTCCTCCGCCGGTGGTTCGAGCTAGAGGGAGACCAGTGCGCTAGCAAGGATCGTACTAGATACTGCAACCCCCTCCAATCCTGGTCCCCTCCAAAGTGTTTCCTTCAAGTTTTTTCACCAAAACTTTTGAATACGGTACATTTCTTAACTTTCATGCATGGTACATTCCCTGTTCATTTAATCATTCTTGGTTTGATTACCGTAAGAACTACATAGTTTGACAAGTCATCCAAGTGATCTCTTCCAATTAGGTTTCCATACCAGAACTTTGTATGCACTTCTTAGTTGACCCATGCATCTTACATCTTTCCCATATCATTCTGATTGATTTGTTACGTTTGAATAATTGGTGAAGAGTACAAGTTTTGGAGGTCCTTATTGTATAATTTTTGTCTAGTCTCATGTCACTTCCTCCCTCTTTTGTTCTTATATTCTCAGGACCATTTCTCAAAACAAGTAAAATAAGATTACTTTTAATATCTAATCTATCTAAATATCATGCTAAAAGAGAATTGGTTCTGGTTGCAAGCAGTTAATCTGTTCTTGACTTCTTGCTGAATTCAAAATTTTAACTGCTTATAATTTCTTCATGAATGCAAATTTTGTTTCTGTTGTTACAAATTTCGCCATATTTTTAAGGATTTATTTATATTTGTATTTATGATGTAGTCCTGCATATACTATAACATGAAGTTTGTCAACATACAGAATTTCAAGTACCAGAACTAAATTATGTTTTTTTTTCCCTTCTAAAAGCAGCTTACCAAATGTCAGGGCTGAGTAGTTGGCACCCCTGTTTTCTGTTTGGGGAGGTCATGGGTTCAGCTAGCAGATTGGCTATCCTGGCTGAGGATATTTGTGATTTCCCTCAATTCCTCCAGGCAAATGCCAAGACATTACCTTAAATTATGCCATGTCCACTTTGTCCATATCTTTTCCAAAGCATTATTTATTAGTCATCCTTTAATTTGACAGTAAATAGTTTGGGCTACTAACATTGTAATTAAATTTATTACAAATACATAAGGAACAGCATGAAATTTTGGACATCTGGAATCCGCATTTTGAAGTAGAGTCTAATCATTCCCAACTTTTTATGATGATTATTATTTTTATTATTATATTAATTAGTGTTTGCAGGGTCAGATTGGTTTGATTCTATTTCATGTTTCAGTGGTATTGGCTTTTAACCGATCTGGTTCTAAGTTACATGAAAAGGATTTTTTCCCTGTTCTGGAGCTGTTAACTGATATCGTAAAGGTGTTTGGACCACTTTGAGCATTGGTTAGTTAGCTACAAGTATGTTGTTTTAGTTGCATGCACTTTTTATATTTTTTCTTAAGAGTTTAAGGCAAATTATAAGAAAAACAGTCAGGTATATCTCTTGTAGTAAACAGTTTGCCTTCTCTGTTAAAGGTTGAAGGAAAACAACGTGTTCACTTTCATTCATTCATGCTAGATGTTCATTCCCGGATTCATGAGGTAAAGAAGACTGTTGTGAGGGACTATAAGAGCACAAAACCACAGCCTTTCGACCCCATTCCCCCTGTTGCAAGATCAATCAGTAATAACTCATGGCTAATTTGTTTTGATGAATTCCAGGTGAGTAATAGAGTCCGTCTATGGGCACATTTACAATCAGGCTGTGTGCCATACAGTGTAGCTTAGATGTTGTAGTGATGAGTGACTTGGGAAATTTTGTTGGCATTTAAAACGTGGCATAATCAGTTTTCAACGTATGTCAGGCTGCGCTGAGTTTTCTATGAGTGCAGCTGTAGATTGTTGGACCTCTGAGGTGGAAGAGCTAGATGCTGCTCCTATCATATTCTGTCAAGTAGCGGAACACAGCCTAAAAAAACATTACAAATAAAATAGTGTAGTTGCGTCATATTGTGATTTATTAAATTAAAATTAAATTATTTGGTTATTCCGTCAAATCACAATGTATTTAAAATAAGATAATTAAAATAATTAAAATATCATTCTGTGTTCCATAT